CACTGTGGACATTCTTAAAATGGAGCCTAAATGAAAACAGAAAAGGAATTAAAGCACATTTATTCATTAAATTTATTTATTTATAAATTTTCTGTCCCATTTTTAGAAATATTTACATGATGTCTTTATTTTTTGGCAAGAATGTCTTTTATTTTGCTACAACCATCTATCTTTCTGCTTGGTTGTTTTTCCGGGTTTGTTCCCGCTCTCAGAACTAAACTGCAAGAACCACCCAGGAAACTACAGGGTGGCAGTCCTCCCAAGGTGAGTGACAGAGTTTGTTCAGTCTGAAGCTAGCATAGCAATGGACATGTTTGTGACAAAAAAAAGTCCAAATGAACCAACCAGCAGCCCTGCTATAGAGGACACTGCGTAAAAAACTCCTGGCCAAGTAAAATCAGGCAGTTACATTAAGTATAGCTTTACAGCTAATAGTAAATAAAAGTGAGAGAAAAAAAAGAATTCTAAAAAGTTGATATATCTTTACATATATTAATGTGTTTTATTGTCAACTTGCAAGGGGGTCCCCGGCAAGAAGCTAAAGTTGTTTGGGGGGCCTTGGCATGGAAAAGTTTGGGAATCCCTGCCATAGTGTATCATTTTTTGTTGATATAATATGATCTTTTTTTTTCCTCATCTAACCTTCTGTGGTACTTTTGTTTTTCTTTTTAAAGGTTGCGTGACGCCTGCTGGTTGCCGCATGACCTGATCACCTGCTCCCACGTTTTTGTCATGTGTATCTTCTTGAGTGGATGTTCTTAAATGTAATTTCATTGGGTCTGTGCAATGACAATAAAGGCATAATCAATTAATCAATCAATCATGAAGAGGTCTGATGACTAACTTCAATGAATTTGGAGACTCTGAACTATTGACTTTATTTGTGAAAAATAAAGTCAGTAGCGCAAATAAAGTGTGAACAAAACAATCAATGTTGTTGCACCAGTATCAATACGATCCAATACACATCTTGGTGTTGATCTGCCCACCCCTAGTGGAAGGAGTTGGAGTTATGTTAAGTTCAGGAACACAGTAAAAAAAGTTGTTTCCTGATTCATACCTAGGGCATTCAGTGTCCTCTTGTATGAAAAATGAATCATTTGGATTAAACATACACAAAATAAATAAATGAAATAAGTGTGGGTTACTTCTGAACAGTTAAACCCCAAAATAGCATACTTATAGACTATGTAATCTGACTCCAACAATGTTGTCTTTATCTCTTCCAAAGAGACACTTAATTCAGCTGCTCAAAATTATCTTGTGGCCACAAGTTAATATTTCGTGGCCAAGCAGTAAGTATTTTTATCCAATGTCACTGGATAAGCTCCATAGATGCCAGAGGACATTTCAACATTTATTTACTCGCCATCAATTTGCCCCAACACTTTCTCTGTTGATGAGACAGCCACACAGAAATAAAACACTTTATAAAAAATGCAGATGTTTTCATAAAGGAGACCTGGCTGTATGTATGATGAGCATTTATTTCAAACCCAGGCAGTGGAGTTGCACCACACAGCCACTCCCGTTCCGAACCCCCCTGGATGTCTGTGTGAATGTGTGCAGTGAGCTGGCTCATTTGGGCTCGCAGCTATTCACTCATCATACAGAAGCTCATTAGAACTCTATAGACACACAATTGTGAGGCTCACATTAGAAACTTCCTCCTCTGGGACAGACACCACACACAAAGTGCCAGTTTGCTGCTATGCTAAGCGCATTGTCCTCCTGATTCATGGAACCTGGCCCTCCATTCACAATATTAAGTTCGAGTGGTGGAATATCAATTGCGTGTGCAATGGGCCAGTATCTTTTTGAGAGCTTTGCTAGGGCTGGAAAAAAAGGAGAAAAAGGGGGATCTTAGCTGGCCTGCAGAGTGCTAGCTTTCAACTGAACCATTGTGAGACGTTTGAATGAAGGGACCCCCTGTTTTTTCCCCCACCTTCATTCCTGAGAAGAGATGGGCATCAAATAAATTCACATGAACTTGCCTCAGGGTGTTTGAGACCTACTGTTTAAGAATAGCCTAATTATACCTCCCTCTCCTGGAGGACTTCATTGGAATCTGGCTAATTACACAATGGGACCTTATTACCGGTACGCTCTTAGCCTCGCCTTTTAGAACAGGCACAAAGTCTCGTGAGACAAAACAGATCAAAAAATGTCAACGAACCCTGAGTTATTTTACAATTTTATTACAAACACAAGCAGCCTATTGAATGTCATTTGATTGGGATGCTCATACCTGCGCTAAGACATGATAAAACAGAACTTTACAATTTTAAAGCAATAGTTCAGTGGGGTTCTGTGGGATGGTTATGAATGACCACAGATTAGAAAAATAGAGTTTAATTCTGACCAGAGTGACAAGCTAAAAACAAATCAGAGCAGGGCCAAAATCTGACTGGATTAAATCTCCAAAGTTTAAGGATTTTTGCACAAGCGTTAATCAAAAAAAATAAAAAAATAAATAAAATTGGGGGACAGACTTGAAAAAATGACTATTCAATATAAAAATGGATTTAAAAAAATGAAATATTTTTATTTAAAATCTATTATTTTAATTATATATATTTTTAAATGGAAGTGTACTGTATTTATTTCATTGCTGGCTGTCCAGCCTCTGAGCTGTCAGCTTTCAGTAACTGTGGCCCTGTTACAAAACTTAAATCACCATCAATTTAGCACTTTATTATTATTTACATAGAATTGAATGCATATTTGTAAGGAGAAAATGTAACATCAGCAGCTAGCTGTAGTACTTCCGGCAGTAACATTAAAATGTTATTGTTGGAATAATTGTGTCGAGCATTAATGGCAGCAGCTCGTAGGTTTCAGTTTGTGTGTATTTTTGAACTGCAACAAATTGGAAATGTTTCAGGATGGCAGAAATTGACTTTGGGAAGTTTGTAACTGTCCTAGCTTGTAAACTCAGCCAAATTAAACTGTTTCTCCAATCTGACACTGTTGAAAGAGCTATTTTCAACAGCTGTTTTACAGCAGATATTAATACATATTAAATAATCAATAACTTTTCACAGAACCCATCTTGTAAAGATTCAAACTAGCTCTTTAACACCAAAACTAGGATGAGATTTTCGTGAAAGTCTCAGGGAAAAAAATGTTTGTAAGAAATTTCTGCTCAACTCCAGTCTTGTTTTTTTCTGCCATATAATGACCAAGCAAACTAAAATCCTGGCCATAAGTCTTGTGTGGAACCTTTTAACACACACACTCCACACAAAAGTGGATAGTGCATGGGGACTCACTAGCACTCATCATGTCACAGAGTGCAATGGTTTTTCCACCAGCCTGAGGTATAAAACCTCAAATTTGATTACAAGCAACCTTTGGCTCCCTGGGCATTACACAATAGGCTGAGCTGTCTGGGCCAATTTCCATGCTCAGCATGAGGTATCTACACGCGCAGGCTGGAGCTCTCAGTTGCCCCCTCCACAAACACACACACACACAGAGGTTCATTAGTTGCAGTGTGAAAGGTTGCACAAGCCTCTCATTGGATGTGTTTATTGTAAAACATGACACACGTGTTTGCCTGCTGGCGCAACTGTTTTTATTTTGCAGCTGCAAACCCCCCCCAATGTGCAGCACCTACATGCACAGAACTGAAGGAGAATCCAAGAGCTCGTGTGTGCTGGCAGACTCAAGGCAAACAAAATGCCTGACTGAAAATGAAAACTTCAAAATACCCACCAAACCTAAGTGATGGAAGTGAAGGTTGTTTTCCAGTCAAGTCTTGATGAATAATTCACTTTAAGATCCCTTATGAAGTGAAGCACAAGGAAATTCATTGAAAACTAGGAGCATGAATGATTATTGCTGGATCATTTAGCTAAAACCTGCTGAGGAAGCTGAAATATTTTAAAACATTGAACTATTAATGCTTGCTGAATTGTAACAGTTGAGGCGGAACCCAAAATTAGCTGAATGATTGTTGAACTTTTCCGAAGAACCCAAACTGTGAAAACAAAAGCCTCAAGGAGCAGAGAATAGCTGAACAATGCAGATAAAAAGTAAAATAATTGGAAATGTAGCTGAAAGGGGAAGAAAAAGCTGCTCTTCAACAGACAAAAAGTGAAGGGAATAAAAGGGACGTTTAAAGTAGTAGAAGAAGTTGAAATTAGCAAAATAGCAGAAAATGTCAGAATGATAGGCAAAAAAAACCCCAGAAAATTCTAAAATCAGTTAAGTAGAAGATTTCAGCATAAAGAAACTTAAAAAAGCTGAACAAAATTTAAAAATGACAGTAAAGATTTATAAACATTGTGAAGAGATTTCAGGATGTTAAAGACAACTCCATTCATTTTCAATGAAGAAAAAAGGGGCCAAAATAGCTAAATAGCTGAAAAAGTATAAATTGTTGAAATACCAGAAATTATAGCTGGAATGTCCTGAAGGAGATAAATGTTTAGATAAATTGTTATAATAGCACAAAAATTGTGGAACAAGATACCTGCCGAAAAACGTACGAAAGAAAGAATTATGTGTGAAAGTTTTATTAGCATTCACACAATAAAATTAACAAAAATATAAAAAATGGGATTTCAGGAGCAAAATCTTCACTTACGAGGGAAGGAAAATCTTGGTCGCAATTTTTCTCAAAAACGTGCTCTGCTCAGTTTTGCCTCATTTTGCCACCAAGATCTGTGGGGCTGAAAATCCTGAAATGTAGCAGAAATAGAAAAAAAGTGTGTATTTTAAAAGAACCGCTGAGGGCTCAGTTTCGGGGTTTTTTCTCTCTTTCTTTTGACACAATGGAGCTCTGAGGGAGGTTGGAAAAAGAAGAAAACTATTTACTGCTGCAGAAGACTGTTTGGTCAACGTTAAACTTTGGTCAGTACTTCATTGTCTCTGGTGTCTATCATTTAATAGGCTATTTGACATAATGAATGAGCCAGGCCCACCTTCTGCCACTCCAGAAAGGCCCCAGTCTTATCTGAATTGAGAGGCACATTAGAGCCTCTCAACCAATCACAACACGAGCCCATAGTAAAGTACAGGCTTGGAAAGAGGAAGACCAGAGAACTTTTGTCTTCCTCAGAGTTTAATGAAGTTGGCCTGGTCAGTCAAGAGAGGATTAAAGGAGAGTTTAGTGTCACTGAGCTGTGACTGTTTGTAGAGGGGAAGTGGAGTGTTTGGGTCACAGTGCCAGAGCAGGATGGTCTCAGTTCAGAGCTGGACCAGAAGGAACATGGCTAGTCTCGCTCCTGCTTTAACGGGCTTTGGGAGGTCGGGGAAGAGCTTTCTTATAGACAATCTGATTAAATCTCACTGTTCTTCTTCAGTGCAGCCAAAAACATGCAGACACCTGGGACAAGCAGCTTGTGACGGTCCGAGGAGAACCTGGGGCCAGGAGCTCGAAGCCCACCAGAACCTGAGTCAAAGTTCACAGCAGGGTAAAATCTTAACTGGACCCATTCTGCAACACTCAGGTATTTAAACTTATTATTATTTAAATAAATGTAGACTTTCAAACAGTCTGATGGGTTTTTTCTGCACAAAAGATTATTTTCTATAACTATTATAAAAATTTACAAACAATAAATTCTAAACATTTAGAATTTGTTTGCACATAAGAGAAATTAAAATTAGTTTCAATACATTAGAAGTTGTCAGTAACTGATGGCCATACAGCTCATTACTCAAATATTTGGGACTGTGCATAAAATGTAATTATGTTATTAAAATTATTTAACCCAGGCTGTTTTTTTTTACTGTAAAACATCTAATTATAAAAAAACTTTAGTATAATTAATTGCTCATTTTGAGTTTTCAACCTGCAAAACTTTTCCAAATATTAGATCAGATGCAAAGAAAAGTCTAACAAATCAGGAATACTGGAAACGAGTAAGTAAAATGATATTTTAAGTTAAGATTCTGTTTTAAGATGATTTTAAAAATTTAGGTGTCCACCCATATGCAAATACAAATTTAGCAAGTTGTTTTTTTAAGTGTCTTGTTATTGTGCTACAATATCTTCAAAATGGTTCTATGGATTCAAGACAGAAAATCAGAATAACTGATCTCTGGGCCTGTAGGCAGCTCAGTGTCTGCATTAAAAACAGGCAGGGCAAGAAAAAAATAAAGAACAAAAAGAGCATTCACAAATACAGAGTTAAACTTAGATTATTATTTTTCTAACACACCAGTTCTTCAGATTAAGGAATAGAAGTTTAATCTAGTCTGGTATCAGTTTACGGTTCAAAAGCCAATCCTGATGATGTGACAAAGTATCTAATTGCAAAAATTCTTTGCACGGGTTTGAAGGTAAGGCTGTCACACTGTAACAGTTTAAACAACTTATAAAACTTGTCAGAGTTTGAAGATGAATACACTGAAAATGGAAAGAATCAAACTGGAAGCCTCTTTTAGACTTATACATACTGCAATGCTAACAATTAGATCAAATATTTAAACCTATATAAAAATGTTCATAAGTTGGCATACTTTGTCTAAAATATGCGAAAGGGCCTGTAGCGGTTATACTAAAGGACAGATTCATGTTTTCTAGTTTGTTTTTAGGTTAGGATTTACATATTGACTTTCTGAAATACTCACCTAACTTTTCTTTTTCAAGTTTTTCAGGAAACACAAAAAGTAACCAAAAATTTACCATATTGTATGTCATTCGGGAAGTCAAAAAATTTTTTTTGGACTTGGGCATAATAAATCAGCTTAAGCCACACTCATGATTTGATCAACTGAGAGCCACAGAAGCCCTCAAAGGGCCAGTTGTATTTAACTTTGACATTTTGTCTTTTAACTTTGACTCAACATGAAACATCACGTTCCTCATCTCATTGCTACAGCTGAGCACCACTAACAAATAATAGCTGAGCTCTACTAGTATTTTGTGCAGAGAAACAGTATTTTAGCACGTCCTCTTAAAAACACTGACTAAATGTGAAATACAGTGGTTTGCAAAAGTATTCATACCACTTGAACTTTTCCATATTTTGTCACATTACAACCACAAACATAAATATATTTCACTGGAATTTAATGTGAAAGACCAACACAAAGTGGTATACAATGTGTTGGTCTTTCACATTAAATTCCAGTGAAATATATTTATGTTTGTGGTTGTAATGTGACAAAATATGGAAAAGTTCAAGTGGTATGAATTCTTTTGCAAACCACTGTATTGTAGAGGGGACACAAACTAAATCCTGTTTTTACATCAGTTATTGTAGAGGGGACACAAACTAAATCCT